TGGAGTACTAGGATGGGGGGATGTATGCCCATTTGTCCCAGGTTGAGGATGCTATAGGCTTTTAAGGGCTCTGATGGCTTTGAAGCTAAAAGGGCTGGGTGATACTATGATCAGATAAAAACCACTTCTTCAGACCCTGATTAATTACCCCCTGTGGACTCCGATGGCCACATACTCCCTTCTAGTGCTCTACCACTCTGATACAGGGCAATAAGGGCAACTTCCTGCTCCCCTAGTCCTGAATCCCATAATTGCACTGCAACACTAGACTTATTTCTGAGGTTAGAAGTAAGGGAACAGGGAGCTGGTCATCTAGTCCAAAATCTCAACAGCATCTTATTACTGCACTGCTTATCCCATTCATGCAATTCCTTGTGGGTCTCTCTCTACTTGTTCTTACTGCTACCATTTCTTTTATATACTGTTTAAACTGTGAGTGTGACAGCCATTTTAGCTTTTTTTAATCCCTACACCCTTATAAATTCAATATAAAGTATGTAACTTTTTTTGTAACTGTTATATACTGAGATAATGATATCAGTGCTAGCGAGGCCATGCGGCCATGCATACCTTCGGGTGCTAGAACAATAGAGGAATCGGATCCTAGGGCAGACCAATCGGAGTGCCCAGATTCTAGAGTAGAACTGTGATGGACTCCTCCACTGTAAATAGCCTATCACTGGTGTTGGGGTGTGTGTTGGGTGTGGGGTACTGCAGCGATATAAGTGGGGCTCGGACCTCGCTAGTTTGTCTTTCATTTTGCTTGCTAATAAACCAGGAGCTGATCACTACTCAATGCCTTCAAACTCAGTACATTATAGTAACATATTCAAATATCTAGTAACAGGGGTAGGATACAAGTCTATGTAAATAAATAACAAGGAAAGAAATGACACACTCCTAGATGTTTTAATATAGTTCAGGGTGTCTGTCCATCTGCCCAACATATGTCATGGAAACTGTGTCTCACCTGATAGGGTTACACTTGCAATGACAAGGACTGAAAGCGCTGCCTTGAAATCTCTAATCTTCAGATAAGGTATCTTGATGACACAGTGCTATAAACATCTGTCTAATTGCTGTCCAGGGGGAGAAATGCAAAAGGACAGCCCCAAGGCTCCCAGAGGGCTATAAAGCACAGTTCTAAACAGAGATACACAGTTCTTTTTAAATATTTTATTTATAAATTTTCCACAATATATAATATTACAAATAATAAACCTTATATACATTTGAGTCTATTTTTCCATATGTTATTTGTCCATTTATATACTCTCAACCATCTTTTAAGTTGTATATTGTCATTTTCCTTGAAGTATTAAACTCAATTTATCTATTTCTGCCATTTCTAACAACTTGAATGCTATTTCCTCTCTTGGGGGGGTCCTTTCTAATTTCCAATACTTGGCTAACAAAATTCTAGCAGTCGTTAGGATATATATCAACATATAAACATCATTTCACTAATAATGCTCCGGAATTATATTTAACAAAGCCATTTATGGAGTTAAGACAAAGTTCATATTCATTATTTCTGATATTATCTTTTGCACCATCAACCAATAGCTATAAACGTTTCCACATTGCCACCACATATGAAAGAATGGTCCTACATTCACTTTACACTTCCAACAATTTTTGAAGCATTAGGATGACATTTGGCTATTCTGTCAGGGGACCAATACCATCTATGAAATACTTTGTAAATATTTTCTTTATAGTTAATGGCCCTCATATATTTAACTGTTTTCCACATTTTTGACCATGTGTCTATACTATATCCTATATCCCTCATCCATGCAATCATAGTTGTCTTAACTGTTTCATCTTGCATGTATTCTTCTAATAGAAATCTATAAAATTTCTGAATCATTTTATCACTTGATGAAAATCAAATTTTATCCAATTCGGTTTTAGTCTCCTGGAAACCTATTACAATGTCTTTGTTAAATCTAGATTGAAGTTGTAGGCTTTCCCACCATGTCAGCTTTATATTGTGTGAGCAGAGCAGAGCAGGATTTCCTCCAATTTTAGTTTACTGTTTTTATCTAGCAACACTTCATAACTTTCTCTATCATTTTTGTTGATAAGGGAAGGTTTTATGAACGCTTCTAATGGCGATACCCATGTTGGTATTTTTCTATAATATCTTTCTTTTACATCATTCGAAATTCTTATTAAGGCACCTCTTATCATATGATGTCTAAAGTTTGAATGTATTTTATCCTTCTTATACCACACATACGGATGCCAACCCATGCTTAAATCATGTCCTTCTAAGTTTAGACTTCTTATATTTTCCAGGGTTAGTCATTCTTTTATCCAGCCTAAAGATACCGCCTGATAGTATAATTTAGGTAATCCAAATCCACCTCTTTCTTTTCTATCTTGTAACGTTTTCCATTTAATTCTTGATCTTTTGGGATACCAAATAAATTGTTTGGTCATTTTGTCAAGGTCTAAAGAGAATTGTGGTCTTTTCAATATTTTGAGCCATGAATAAAAATCTCGGAAGTATGTTCATTTTTATGGTAGCTATTCTACTTTGGCCACCAAATGAGAAGGGAGCACTCACTGGAGAAGACCCTGATGCTGGGAAAGATTGAAGGTCAAAGAAGACGGGGACGGCAAAGGATGAGATGGTTAGACAGTGTCATAGATGCAACAAACATGAAATTGAGCAAACTTCAGAGGACAGTGGAGGACCGGAAGGCCTGGCGTGATCTGGTCCATGGGGTCGCGAAGAGTCGGACTCGACTGTGCGACTGAACAACAACAACATTCTACCCATAAGTGACAGCTGCAAGTCTTTCCATCTTAATAAATCTTTCCTAATTTCTTCAAGTAATTCATTATAGTTGTCTTCTATTAGTGTACTGTTTCTGTTAGACATTATTATTCCAAGATGTTTGACTTTTTTCACAATTTCCACGTATGTTAATTTATGTAACTCCTGTATCTTGTTTGGCAAGCAGTTTTTGGTTTTTATTTTCATCTTCAAATTAATTTTTAAACCTGCTAAATGTCCATAATCTTGAATTGTTCTTAACACATGAGTAATAGAGGATACTGGGTTTTCTAATATATACACCAGATCATCTGCAAAAGCTAATAATTTAAACTCTTCTCCTCTTATTTTGAGACCTTGTATTTGATTGTTTTCCAGTGCGAAGATAAATAGTAGTGGTGATAAAGGGCAACCCTGCCTTGTTCCTTTTTGAATCTCAATAGTTTTCGTCATATCACCATTTATCATAGCCTAGAGATACACATTTCTAAGTCCACTGAAGTCAGTGGGTTTAGAAGGGTGTAACTCTGCTTAGGATGACACTGTCAGTCATGATGACTTGCATTCTTTGAATCTTTTCTGACACTGGGAGAAGAATTTAACCTTAAATGTTGTGGATTATAATGTTTCAAGGGACATTGGCCTGCAAAATATTTCAAGGGCCACTGCACGCCTTACGCCAGTACAAAACCCAAGTCCCACCCATGCTGTCTGGTTGCTCTGGGAATGCTGCTGCAGCTGGAATTAAACTGCCAACTTTCTTCTTCAGATCTATAATTACACTGATATTTTTAAAATACTTAATCTAATCTTAATACTTCCAAAATTGGACAAAGGAAACACGTAGCCTTGTTGTATTGTATAACCATGTGAAACCCAAAGGAACTAGTCAAATAACTGGGGGGGCAAAATATCTGAAATATTAACTAAAACGGGGTGTTTTTCCACAACCCAGAAAGTATTTTTTTTACATAAAGCTGTACATTTCTTCTGCAAGAGAAAACCATATGTCAAAATGCTACATTTTTAGACTTTCAACAGTTCTACACTCTCTAGTAAAGTTGTAGGTTGCTTAATACCAGAGAAAGAGACAGTACTGTAAGGCCAAATATGAACACTTGAAGAAGACAAAATACAAACGGATGACAACTAAGTACAAACTGATGACAAGCTCCAGCCAAAGTGTGCTCCAATTTAATTGATTTTTCAGTGGGTGAAATCTCCAGTGTGGCCCTAAATAGAGTTACACCCTTCAAAGATCAATCACATCAATGAACTTGGAAGAATATGACTC